GTGTGGCTCTTCCCTCAAGTCCCAGCGTCTCCAGAGGGAAAAATGTACATGGAAACAATTTCTTAAAAAAGTGCAGCATTTTGCAAGGCAGTTATATTTAAAAACAAAACCATATTTATGATAGAGATAGCAAGAACTGCAGGTCCTGGAGTCAGAGATTCCACAGTGTGGAGCTGGAGGAACACAGCAGGCCAGGCAGAAATTTTTGAGGAAGGGTCCTGACCTGAAATGTGAAGTTTCCTGTTCCTCTGACGCTGCCTGGCCTGCTGTGTTCTTCCAGCTCCACACTGTTGTCAATATTTAGGATAGGTTTTCTTGTAGGGGATGGTCTGTTGGCAGTGGTCATATAAAACCGTTGCTGGAAGATAGGCCCATATGATTTAGCTGTCACGCAAGAAAACCCAAACCAAAATTTGTTGAAAATCAGATGAGTTTTCACACCTTGGCAAAGAAAACAAAAGGCAGCTTTTATTTCAAATGAGACATAGAAACAATGCAGCAACTACTGTGAAAATGCAGGGAATTTTTTTTTTGTCAGCACCCAAGTAGGATAATGCTGAGAGCTTGCTCTCTACTTAAAATGATGGAACACTAAATTGGGCCTTGTTGATGAAAAGGAGTTCTGGAATATTCACACAAAGAAACAATTTTCAGAAGATATTACTAGGTCCCTCTAGCATCATCTGGGATTTGGTCCTGTAATGCTATATTTTAACAGATATGTGATGATCAGTTAAAGAAGCTGTAAGACAAATCTGATCACATCAGTTATTTAATGGAAAAGTACCTTTATAATTAAATAAATTAGTCACCTGTTAAAAATCAAGCATTACGTTGATTTTAGTTTGTGAAAAAATGAAAATATAAATTCTTCTTCAGTTAAAGTTTATCATTTGGGACATACATTTTAAAGTAATCTGTCTTGATGGAGATCATAACATTCTCAGTTCCACTTATCTTGAAAACATTCATTAAATTACCCACAAGTCTTGTAAACTCCAGGAAATACAATGTTAGTCTCTGTAATACCTCCTTATAAAAACTTAAAAATAAATATATCGATGCCATACTCACCCAGCCTCGGTCAATGTATTCCTCCTAACATGCAGTGCTCAGAACACAGTATTTCAGGTGGGGTCTAACTAATGCTTTGTAGAGCTTCAATGTAATTGTTTCACCCTTGTATTCTAGTTCTCCAGACAAGTTTCCACCAGCCGTTTTAAGTAGTCTGTTAAATTTTAATGGTCTGCACATGCAACCCAAAATCTTTCAGACCTCAACTATTTCTAGGCTTACATTTAGAATGTACCCTTTTTATACTTTCACACTCCCACCAATTATATGAATTCCCACTTGCTTGTATAGAAATGCAGGTGCCAGTTTTGTCCATTCATTTAATCTATCAATATCTCCAATTTATGCTTCTATCTATGCTGCATAAAACACAACTCTGCGTGACAGTTGGACATGGGCCTACATGTGACTCCAGACGCACAGCAACGTGGTTGACTCTGAACTGCCCTCTGGGCAATTAGCGATGGACAATAAATGTTGCCTGGCCAGTCATGTCCTCATCCGTTAATGAATGAAGAAATAATAATGTGGATTCCAGAACTGTGCCTAACAAACAGCCTATACCATTTCAGCATAACCTCCCTGCTCTTGGCTGATAAAGGCAAGTATCCCATGTCTTCTTGATCACTTTATCTACCTGTCCTGCTCCCTCATGGGACCAGTGAGCATGGATATCAATGACCTTCTGATCCTCACTGCTTCCCAGGGTCACACTGTTCATCATGTAATGTCTCGCCTTGCCTTGTTTGGTCTGCCCAAGTCTATCACCTCAAACGTATCCAGATTGAATTCCATTTGCCACTGATCAGCCCCATCTGACTAGCTCATCTATATCAAGTCCAAACCATTTACATAAACCACAAAAAAGCAAGGGCCTCAACACTGATCCCTGCAAAACCCCACTAGACAAGCTTCCAGTCACAAAAGCACACCTTGACCATCACCCTCTGCTTCCTGGCACTCAGCCAATTCTAGTCCCAATTAGCCAGAGATCCTTGAATTCCATGGGCTCTTACCTTCATTGTCACTCTCCAATTCAGGACCTCGTCAAAAGCCTTGCTGAACTCCAAACAGACTGCGTCAGATGCACTGTCCTCATCTATGCGCCCAGTTCCCTCTTCGAAAAATTCAATCAAGTTGGTCAGGCATGATATTTCCTTAAAACTGTGTATAAAACTTGTATAATGTGGATTATTCTTCATTAATCCCTACTTACAAAAAAAAACTGCAGATGCTGGAATCCAAAAGGAAGACAAACAAGAGGCTGGAAGAACACAGCAAGCCAGGCAGTATCTGGAGTAAAGGAGCAGTCAACATTTCAGGTATTACCCTTCTTCAAGGCCAAAATGTTGACTGCTCCTTTCCTCCAGATGCTGCCTGGCCTACTGTTCTTCCACTCTCCTGTTTGATTAATCCCTGCCTCTAAGTGCAAATTAATTCTGTCCCTCTAGAATTGCTTCCAATTATTTCCCCACAATTGATGTTAGATTTGACAAGGTTCCTGGTTCATCTTTGCCCCGTTCTTGAATAACAGCATCACATTGGCTGTCCTCCAGTTGTGGCAGCTCTCCTGTGGTCAGAGGTGAATTGAAAATTATTGGCAGTGCCCCTGCTATTTCCTCTCTTTCTGCACACAGCCTCGAGATTTATCTACTTTTAAGCCTGCCAGACCACTCAACCTCCAGTCTATGTTAATTTCCTTTAAGCATATCACAGTCCTCTGATTTGCATACACTTCTTTATGATCTGATTCGAGTACCTACACATTGTGCCTACTTTACATTTTCCAATGCCCTGCTAATTTCCTAAGTTAGTCAGTAATTTCCCTCAATTCCAATGAGCTTCTGCTTTCTGAAAGTCCATATAATTTACATCTATTTTACTGAGGGAAAGCTAGAGAGTCATTGTGACTTAATTTGCTGATATGTTTCATTTTTATACTGTGACATATGACAACTCCATCAGATTTCAGTAAATTAAGATACCTAAAAGTTAAGCATACTTAAGGTTTGTAATCTATGATGTGTTAGTTAATTGCATTGCCACTTTAAAGTTGGCTTCAGTTTTCTTGTCTGAGGGGAAGGCAAAGCCAAAGTTCATGACACAAAGCTTATGATGCCCCTGTATCTGGATTTGCATGAAAAACTGCAACCACCACTTACAGAACTGTACACCAGCATCAAATAACATATTTAAGTGAAGACATGATAGGAAAATCAACTAACAAAAACCGCTAATTCCCTATTAGGGACATTGGTTCACTGGTCCTCTTCTCACAGAGAAAATTCATAAATAAAGCTCAGACTGAAGGTTGTAGACAGACTATTCTTCAAGGAAATAAGAACAAATCAACACGGAATGCTTACAGGAATCTATTAGTAGTCAAGCACACCTTAAGAACTGTTTGGAAGACTTTAGACGAGGGCAGGCATTTGTGGGCCAACACATGACTTGCATTAATACAAGATTTACAAAGAGCCAAGTTCTCCAGAATAAATTTAAGTCACAATGCATCAGCCCACTATACAGAAGATTTCCAGTGGACTGAAAAGCCTTTCCCTATTCCAAATTATGAAAACCTAAGGTCAGAATCTGGGAGTGTTTAAATCATAGTTCCATGGTAATAAAGTTTTAAAAGAGTGAACAAAATTAAATAAATAAAAGTGCAGAAACTTTCTGAATGCATACAGCTACAAGGATTCCTGTTCTATTTCTCAACAGATGCACAGCATTCATCAGCAAAACAGTAAACCCTTCTGAAGAGACACAAATATACCTTTAAAAATTAGCAGTTATGCATATTATATGCATCAAGATGTAACGTTTTATCTGCCAATAACTTCATCTATTTGTCATATCAAATAAAAATAATCTCTTTCAATTCAGCAAAGGCAAAAATCAATGCGTGTTCCAAATTTTGAGAAATCAACTATTATATTAAATGATCCCAACGTTAGTTGAAACTTTTAGGATGAAACACCATTTTAATACGAATAGAAAGCTTGGCTGTATATACAGGAAATATCCCATTTGAATGATTTGAATGTTCAGAGATACTGGACAGAGTGCAGACAATCTGATCAATAACACCTCTATTTCTATGTGAACTTTAAATTATGTACAGCAAAAGAAGAGCCACCACAGCCTCCAAAGTTGATTATAGAAATTGTGAATCACAAGCAGGGAGTGAATACTCAAGCAGCCGTTAAGTAAATTAAAATAGTGATCACATTACTTAACAGCCATAATAATTTAAGAAAACCTAGCCTGTAAAACTTTTTGATTGTGTCATGGCAAAATATTTCAGAGAATAATGCAGTCATGGGAGAATACTCGAGTAATCGCATCATGATCAGGCATACTGTTCAACCTTTGATTTAATACCCATGAAAATTAACATTCATAAATGTCTTCACATTAACTTGTGCATTAATGTCACGATTAGAGTAAAGCAGCCTTTCACGAAACATCATCTCTGATCAGAAGTATTACCACAAGTAATGGCTGCAGAAGCCATGACACATTCAAAAAATAGAAATCAACCATTTTCTAAGATGCAGGCCACATTACATGTTTTAATTATCAAAAACAAATTGATGCAATCAAAAGCCTTGGTCACTTTGTTAAACTGTACTAAAGCAGATGTGTGTGTCATCTTCAGGGATGAATGCAACTCAAACTCAGGATCCTTACAATGGTGAGTAGGAAAAAAAATTAAAATGTATTTCACGTTTCCCCTTTGTTTTAATTTACACAGATCTTTTGAGAGCTTTATTTACAGAGCATCGAATCCAGTCTCGTTTATAGCGATTATCACATATTACAGTGATGTTTAAAATGGAATCTATGCAGAACCCAGAAAGAACAAAGGGTAGAGGTGTTTGTCAATGAAAGGGCATCTGGGTACAGAAGGGATCCCAAATTCATCAGTTACTGAGAAGTCGTTCTGTTGCACACTCCACGTCCCAGGATTGTGAAGACAAGGCCACTATTACTGCATTCTGTAGAAGAAATAAAGAAGTTAAAATTTGCAGCAGCCAAATTACACTTTCTAATTCTAAATTACGTATAATTACTGAAGTAACAAGTCTCCCATCAATTGCACGGCACAGTGTACATTTGGCCAAGATCAGACAATAGTAAATTGGAACACAGTCCACAACTAAGCAAAATAGCCTGTTAACATAAACAGATCAATGTAAACTCTGAGGCATCTTGAAAATATGATGCAAGGAAAATTTCAAAACTAGACCAAATTAAATCTACTACAGTAGCATAATTCCACACTACCTGCCTTAGAAATTACATTGATGCAATTCAGAAATATCTTCAATGTAAATGCCACAAATTGTTGCAATATATACATCTTTTCTAACTTTAGAATCTTACATGCTGCACAGTGGCCCAAATCTTAATTATAACATTTACTGGAGTCAAAGATATGAGGATTTAGGTATAAATGGTAGCCATTTTATGGGCAGTCAGATAGTGCAAGGAAAGGAGTCAGCTATTTTGTCCCTCGTGCTTGTTTCACTCCTCAGCAAAACAATCTGTGGCTCACTCCATGTATTCCTTTATCAAAAAGAAGTGTCATACTAACAAGGGGGCCACTGAACCTCTTGAGCCTGTGATCTTATTGCAAGCAAAATTCACAGTCCTATTTACTGTTGATAACCTTTCATTATTTCACTTATTCAACCTCCTCTGCCTTAAAAATATTTGGAGATTGCTTCCACCAGTTTTTCCACGAAGACAGTTCCAAAGATTCTCAATCTTCAGAAAACATTTTGCCTCATTCATTTTTGAAAACAGTGACCTCTAGTTACAGATTCTTCCACAAGACGAAACATTCACCCTGTCAAGTTGTCTTTTACTCTTCAAAACTCCATGAGATAGAAGCCTAGTCTCTCTCCAACTTTTTTCCTCATAAGACAACTCCCCATTCCAGTTATTAGTCTAGTAAACAGGCTGTGAACTGCTTCCAATGCATTTGTGTTCTTCCTTAATAAGATGACCAACACAGTCCACAATACTCAAGATGTGGTCTTCTTAGTGCCTTGTATAAGTGAAAGATAAACTTTTTTATTCGTTCTTCTCTCAATGAACTATAGTATTCTTTTAGTTTCCCTAATTATTTGGAGTACCTGCAGATTACCCTTTTGTAATTTTTTTCCCATGGCACTCAGGTACCACTGCATCTCAGAGCTCCGCAATTTTCACTATTTAGAACATGCTTTTTTATTCTTCCTGCCAAAATAAACAATTTCACGTTTTTCCACAATGCACTCCATTTGCCAAATCTTTGCCCACTCACTTAACCCATTTATATATTTTTTAGAGAAGTTTTGAAACTACAAACTTATTTTATCTATCTTTGTATGATCAGCAAATTTGGCAACTAAACCTTTTGTCCCTTCATACAAGTCATTTGTAAAAATTGTAACATGTTCAGGCACCAACACCGATCCCAGTGGCTCATTGCATCTTCCCAAACTGAAGATCTATTTATGCATAATCTCTGCTTTCTGTTAGCCAGCCAACCTTGCTTCCATTCCAATATACCACCCCCAAATATTCCACAATAACCTTTAATATGGCACTTTATCAAATGCCTTCTGGAAATTAAGCACAGTACATCCACTGGACTGGATGGATTTAGTTTGGACAACACAAGACAGGGCAATCTTCCTGACTGGCACTCCAGCCACTTTCATCAACATTCAATTGCAGCAGTGTGCACCGTCCACAAGATGCGCTGCAGCTACTAAATGGGTCAACTCCACTTCAGGTTTTGCCAGAAAACAAGATCAAAACCTAGACTAGATATCAACGTGAATAAGGCAAATAAGTGAACTCACCATGTTAAGTAACAATTTGAAAAGAATTCAAAATTATCCTGTTTTCACTTGGAAAATAAGTAGAATCTCCCATTTACGTAATACTTTAGGATCAGACAATGCTCAGTGGCAAATTGACTGTTATCACCAGTAATCGTACATTAGAGACAAGTTTGCTTTCCCGTGCATGACAAGGATGGGGGTTCCAATGATGAGCTGACTCACCTTGCAAAGCTTCTTGTAATGTCAATAATTTTACAGATTAAAAAGTTAACCTAGTCACATTCATATGACTGGACTATGATAGTCTATTGGCTTCAAAGCTGCAAAGAAAAAAACTGTTAAGATGTGTTTTTAAGCCAATCACTTCTATTCCATTTTCGTACAGCACGGCAAAAGCCAGGAGGAAGGAACTGCAAGTAAATTTAAAGTGGTTTAGTTATGTTAAAAATTAATAAGGACAAATATAACTAAAGTAAATAAATAAGGATGAGAGAGAATGAAAGGAGAACAAAGACCTGAGCAGAATTTAACATTTACTCAAAGTTGTACTTTAAATGTACATTTCAGTGGTATGGGGTAACTGCATTAACAAATTCACTCCTACCACTTTGTTGCTATATGGTTATCATAATGTTACAACAAGAGCACTGGTACCATAAATTTTTTACTAGTCAAAATTCAAGAAGTTTTATCACACATACACACACACTTAGCTTTAATATCTGAACATTAAGCTAGATTTTGCACCTATGGACAAAAAAATCTAGCTTAAATTAACATGAAAAGACCAATAACACATTCTAACTAGAGTACATGTATGATAAAATGAGCTTCCCAATTGCACCTGTGGCCTCTCTAACCACTGGACAATATATCGTGTATATTAAGTTCCAGTGTGTGAATCCATCCTACGCAGTACTTCTGAGGTGAAGAATAAGCATTTCCATTTGCCCAAGCTGGATCTTCATATTAGTGTTGTGTGACGCAAACAAACTTTCTTATAACAGGTGGATTTGTTTTTAATATCTCATATCTTGAGCTGAGACTCAAAATTCCACTTAAGCTTCAACATCATCAATTTGAAGTGGTGCCTTTAGCATTCTGTTAAACCTGTACTTATTCCTCCTAAACTGTGCCTATCTCCATTGAGGACAAAAATGCCACACTTAATTAATCGGCAATTTTTAGCCCAAGTACTGCTAACCTCCAGCTGTTATGGAACGCACAAATCCAAGAAGCCAATGGTATTTTAGCTCAAATTGAAAAAAAAAAAATCCCTATTTCAGTAGCTTTCACTGTACTCTCAAACCTTCTACCTCTTATAGCCGACATGCCCACTGAATCTCATAGCATTAAGCTAACCATTTCCAGCTGCTTCATCAATGACCGGTCCTCCATCATAAAGGTCAGATTTGCTGTTGATGGCACAATTTTCAGCAACAACACTCCTCAGACACTGAATCAGCGAGTGTTCAAATACAGGAAGACTTGGACAACATCCAGGCAAGTAACACTCACACCCACAAGTGTAAGATAAAAGAATCTAACAACATTCTTCAATATTCAATGGCATCATTGCTGAATCCCCTATCAAAAATATGGGGGTTTAACCATAAACCAGAAATTGAACTGGATCAGCCACATGAATACTGTGGCTACAACAGATCAGAGACTAGGAATTCTGTGACAAACAACTCACATGCTGCCTCTTTCTCTCCTGTCCCCACCCCCAAAACAATCACCAATGCCTATCCACCAACCACAAGGCATGAGTCAGTGTGATGGAAAACTCTCCATGTGCCTGGATGGATATACAACACATGGGAAGCTCATCAAATTAGCTTGTTTCATTGGCACCCCATCCACCACCTTCAATACTCATGCTTTTTACCAACTTTAAGTGGCAGCAGTGAGCACTATTACAGCACCTTCCAAACCTACAGATGCATGGGAACATTAGCATTTGCAAAGTTCCCCTCCATCCTGACTTGGAACTGTTTCACCATTTCTTCACTGTTGCTGGGTCAAAATCTGAAATTCCTTTGCAAATAGCACTATATGTGTCGCTACACTCCAAGGATTTCAGCAGTTTAAAAAGTCAGATCACCACCACCTCCTCCACAGCAATTATAGATGAGCAATAAATTCTGGCCGAGCTAGGGACAGCTACATCCTTTGAGCAAGAAACATCAGGAGTGTGATGGAATACTTTCCACTTGCCTGGATGGGCGCAGCTCCAACACTCAAGAAGGTTGACATCATCCAATATAAAGTAAAGTAATCTGTTTGACAGATTATCTTTACACCACCTTCAAAATCCAACTTTTATCCAATGCAGCAGCAGCAGGAAACACCATTCACAAGATGCACAGCAGAAACTCACCCAGGTTCTACCCACAGCATTTTGAGAATCCATGACCTCTTAGCACCTCAAAGCTCAAGAGCAGATGTTTGGGATCACAACCCACAAACTCTTCAAAACACATACCAATACTGATTTGGAACCATAATCACTGCTCCATCACTGTGCAGTGTCAAAACCCTGGAAATTACTACCTAACAGCACTGTGAGAGTAGCTAAACCCCAAAGGCTGCAGTGATTCAAGGCAGATCACCGTGTTCTGAAGGACAATTAGGGATGGGAAATAAATGATGGCATAGCCAGCAACACTTACATCTCATCAAATTATCCAAATTGAAAGTAATTTCACTGTTCCAAAGTCCTCTTGTATGCCCATCAACCCACTGTTCAGCACTCAACCTTTGCTGTAATCTACGCCAACATTTCTTCTCCAATTGGCTTCCTCTCATCCTTCCGCATTCAAGTATGAACATAATCTATTTCTTTCTCAATCATGCCTTTCTCAAAATATTCTGCAGCTCCTAACAGCTCTCAATATCTACAAAGCAAAATCTGGAGTGAGACAGACTAATCTCCTCTTGCATTCAGCCAACAAATTAAAAGTTTGCAAAATTTACAAGATCTATATAAGGCAGCCCTTAGCTTTCTATTTTGATAAGTCCAGCATGTTCATGCCTTCCTGATAGGAACAACCCTGTATTCTGGTATCGCGGGGTGAGGGGGAACTGTACTCTTGCCTCTATATTTTTATAATAGTGACTAGAATGGTCTAATCAAAGTTTCATACAGGTTTAGCATA